TTCCACTATTCCTCCTCCATGCCATGATATAGTGTTATTAAAAGCTACAACTTTCATGTGTCCTTTGGACCTGAGATTCCTGTGCTGAGAATCTCCACTGAAGACCAAGAGAGTTTTAACACTGGAGGTAGTAAGAGATGGTGAGAAGTAATACTTGAGAGAAGGAGTGATAGAGAAACAGTGGCAGCAGAAAGAGCAGAACCAAGAGACTGGAAGGAGTTAGTGCCTTAGGCTTTAAGACCCATCATTCACTCACTGCCATTAAGTCAGAACCGACTCATAGGTGACGTTCTAGCAGATATTCATAGGCAATAAACGGCATGGGAGATTTTCAATCTTTCTCCCAAGAAGCAGCTAGTGATTCAAATAATGTGCCTTCAAGTTAGCAGCTCTAGTTAACAGCTCCTTGCCACTAGATCACCAGAACTCCCTAACCACACCATAGTGTTGTTATGTGCAATGAGTCACCTGTGACTCATAGCGACCCTATGCTCCATTGCTCTGAACTCTGCCCTGTCCTGGGCCAATTTCACAGTTGCCGACACACCTACACCCTCTATCCCAGTCACTGAATCATCTACGGTCTTCCTCTCTTGCACTGTCCCTCTACCTTTCCGAGCATGATGCTTTCTCTTAGGACTGGCCCCTCCTGGCCACATGCCCAAATTATGTCAGGCAGAGCTTAAACATTCCCGTTTCCAGATAGCAACTCAGCTTCACTCTCTCCAGGACAGACTTGAAAGCCTAAACGGAATCTCTCAAAATGGGTAGAAATGTCTGTGTAGAAGAGGTTACCTTTAAAGAGGATTCAGGGCAATAAATCAATTGGCATGTAGTGTGAAGTGAGATGGTATAGCAAAAAAGAAACAAAGAATATACTTGTTAAAGCACTCCTGGAAAAATGAAGAATTAGTCTCAAATTTGGTGCTAAGAATGATAAGGTTTTTGTTTTGTGTTTTTATTCTTTAAAGGCAAGTCCAGTAAATTGATGAGTCAGCTATATGAAAAGCTCTTACACAAAAAGTTGGGGGAATCACTGAAATAGGCTAATGGGTTTAACCTTCACAGTAGCCACAGAACATCTGGACAATGGCCACTGGAGGAGGAGACTCAGTATTCACCCCAATGGGCCATCACCACAGTGTGGTGCCATTATTCTGTTGTCTTTCACTAAACCTCTGCCCTGTTTTCCTCTCCCAATGCTTTACATCCCAACTTTCTCTCCATGACTTCATCATCCTCCAGGCTCTAAGTGGAGGGGAAAAGGAAAGAGGGACTTAACCACTGGAGAAAGCAGCAGATGGGATGTCGACTCAGCAGCAAATAACCATTCTGTTTTTGGCCCAGGGCAGAGGCACAGATGTCAACGCCATCTCACATTCTGCCTTCCTCTCATTATGCAAAAAAAAAAGTGTTTTGCTTGACTTACCATTTATAATTGTGCTGATTCTAGATATGAAGAGTTGCACATATTGAAGGACCAAGGGAAACTAAATTC